CCGGCCGGGCCCCGGGCGTCCTGGCTGTGGGCCGGGCAGCGCTCGCCTCCGCTCTCCACGACAGCCTGGGCAGACCGGCCTAGGCCTCGGAGCCGGTGGGCAGCTGGGCACAGCGAGCCCCCGGCCGGCGGGCTACGCTGGGGAGATGCAGGCCGTGCACGCGGGGATCCTTCGAAGGCTCCTGAGGCGCCCGCTGTCCCCAGGAGTCCCGAGTGTCCCCAGGCGCAGAGGGCCCCGCGTCCCTTCCCCAGGCTCTGGGAGGCTGCGGGCGCGGGCAGGGCCTCTGCGCCCGGACGCGAACCCGGGAGCTGTGGAGCTGGGGACGCACTGGGCCTTCCAGGCCCAGTGTCCACGCTGGACGCTGCGACCCCACGCTGGGCAGTCAACCCTTCTCTGGCGCAGTGTCCACCCGGTGCCCAGCCAGGGCCATAAAACCTCAGTGTCCCCGAGAAAGCAAGCAACGTGGTCATTAGAGCGCAGGCCGCAGAGAAAGGAGGAAGGCCTGAGCACGACAGAAAGGGGGACAACAGGAAACCCCCGCCGCTGAAGCGCGGAGCGTAAAGCACTGTTGCTTTAAAAGTAACAAATCTCAGTGTGATCGGGAGGCACCTCCACCTTTGCATTAGAAGAGCTCCTGGGTGGGCCAGGGGAGAGGTGGGGCCCACGGCCTACTAGGAGAGGGAGAAGCAAACCTAGGACTGAAAGTGTTCCGCAGATGTGAAGTTACTGCTCTCGGCGCTGAGCAAACTATATCCTAATTCGCAAAGATGAGTTTTGGATAAAAAATTTAAGAAAAAGACACGTACTTATGTCAATTCTTAAGTGTAATTCTGTTTCAAAAACGTTTGCAAATAAACCATTATGAACAACACAAAAGGAAACAAAAAAATCCAGGATCATCATCAGATTTATTCACTTACTGTCTTAAAAGAGTAAAAGATTTTAGCGAAATGTAAAAATGTTATTTAAGATATCTCTTACTGTCGAAATTAAATATGCTGGGAATAATTACTTACTTTAGTTAAAAGAGCAACCTAAAAATTGTGCAGTAATTTGAAACAGAAAAGACCTTTATTAGGGCCACAACTAAAGACAGAAAAACACACTTCACACTGATACATCGGAAGACCTCCTGCACTTCTCGTTTTGCAAATCGAAAGAAATTTATAAAATGAGTTACCAAACAAACACATTTCTGGCAATGACTTATCGAATTTGACATCTTCCTATGTTCAATGTAATTTTATTTACTTACTTTAAAATGTAATGTAAACTAATTTACGCCTTTTGCCCAAAATGATAGATCTTTCCCACTATTGAAAAACGGACCAGAAAAGTCGATGGATTTAAAAGGATGCAGGCTCTAACCACAATGTACATTTAATTGTACATAATTGCATACTTTATTTAAATAACCCTTCTCAGGGGCTTAATAATTTAGAATCAATAGCTCCCTTCAAAACATAATAAAATATTTACACTTTATAAAATATTAACCGGTTAGCAGTGCGCCGCGTCGCTATAAGCGTGTCCGAGGTCCGCCCGCGCCGAGCAGCACTGGAGGTGAGCGCAGGATCCCGGGAATGCAAATGAAGCCCTCGGCGCGGCGCGGCGGCGAAGCGGCTCATGAATGACTTCGGGGTGAGCGTTCCAACCACTCGCATCGTCGGATATAATAATAGTGACGAATCAGACGGGAACGACCCTGGCAGCGCGCTGCACCCCAGAAGCAGCGCGCGCCGTCGGCACCGACCTCGCGGTCCCGCGCGGCTCCGAGGCGGCGAGGCGGCCCGAGGTGAGC